AGAAAATGGGGAATGGCTGCTGAATGACTACGGGTTTTCTTTTTGGGTGATGAAAATGTTCTGGAATTAGAAATGGTGATAGTTGCACACCTCCGTGAATATACTAAAAACCATAGAATTTTATAGTTTACATGGGTGAATTTTGTGGTAAACGAATTTTATCTCAAGTTGTTTATATAAAGACATTTGAAGGAAATGCGTGAGTTTATTTTTGTTTTTTGTTTTTGCGAGTGGCTAGTACAAGGATCCAGACCCTTGACCTTAGTGTTATAACACCATGCTTTCTAACCAACTGAACTAGCTGGCCACCAGATAAGTTTTGAATATCAATTGGATAATAGATGATATGGAACTATTGTTAATTTTCAAAGATGGGATAATGGTATTATGGTTTTGTATGAAATATCTTTATTCTTAGGAAATGCATGCTGAGTGTATTAGGGTTCTCTAGAGAGACAGAAACAATAGGATGTGTTATAAATACATGAAGGGATTTTTTAGGCGAACTAGCTCACGCAATTGTGAAGAGAAATCCCACGATAGGGCCGGCCCGTGGCTCACTCGGGAGAGTGCGGTGCTGATAACACCAAGGCCACGGGTTCGGATCCCATATAGGGATGGCCGGTTCGCTCATGGGCTGAGCATGGTGCTGACAACACCAAGTCAAGGGTGAAGATCCCCTTACCAGTCATCTTTTAAAAAAAAAAAGAAATCCCACGATAGGCTGTCTGGAAACTGGATGCCTTTAGTGTGGCTCAGCCTAAGTCCAAAGGCCTCAGAACCAGGGCAGTCAATGGTATCCTTGGTGTAAGTCTTGGAACCCAAAAGCTAAAGAGTTTTTGAGCTGTGATGTCCATGGACGAGGAAAAGAGTATATCCCAGCTTCAGCAGATAGAAAGATTCACCTTTTCCTCTGCTTTTTTTTTCTCCGGGCCCCAGTGGATTGGATCATTCCCGCCCGTATTGAAGATGAATCTTTTCTACTCAGTCCACTCAGGTTCTCATGCTAATCTCTTCTGGAAACACCCTCACTGACACACCTAAAAAGATAGCTTTACCAGATTTCTCTGTATTCCTTAATCTGAACAAGTAGACACCTAGAATTAACCTTCACACTGAGGTATTTAGGGGTAATGTATCAGGTCTAGAAGTTAATTTCAGATGGTTCAAGAATTTGATTGAGACTAGAGAATGAAAGAGAAAGCAAATGTGGCAAATGATATCATTTGTTGAATCTAGATAGAAGATATGTTTCTATTGTACTTACAACTTTTTTTTCTGCTTGAAATCTTTCAAAATAAAAAGGGGGGAGACTTTTTGCACAATCAATACTTAAAACACATCTTTTGTCTTTGTAAGTTGTAGACTTATTTAGTTGTTCTTACTATGCTGGTTGTAACAGAAAGCAAGAATCCATGGACACTGGATACACTTATGTATGCCATAGCATTAAAACCAGAGTGTACAAGAAAAGCTCTCTATTTTTTTCTTATTGAATATTTAAATTTAATTCCCTACAGTTTTTTGAAGTAGCATATTCATTGCAATTTGTGAAATAATACAAGGCTATATAAGAAAAAAATAATCTGTATTAATAGTCTATGTGATATATGTGTTTAAATATTCACCAAGGAGAAACTCCAGCACAGTGTTTATATCAGAGCCTATTATATGCTAAACACTACAGTAATGGAGAAACATGGGAAACTTGTATGCCTTTGAGGAGCTCACCTTGTAGAAGTCAGACAGGTAAATGAATGTAAGATACTATAGTAGAAGTATGGACAAAATTGTGGGAAAGACTTCTGATGATGGTAAAATAGATCATTTGGGGGCGGGGGGGCACTCTACTGAAGACAAGTAGAAAAGCTAAGCAAAACATAAAAACATCTACTTGAAGCCATTTTAGAACAATCAAGAAGATTTATGGAGCCCAGATTCAGGAGAAGATGGAAATTCACAAAGGTGAGCATGGCATTTGAAGACACTTTTCCCATAGAAGTTTCTGATTCCAGAAGAAGCAGTTTAGAGGAAAAGAAGCAAGTTGAATAATATTTTTGACAGCCTCTTAGAGCATAGTTGGAGTTCCATACCTTGTGGTAGAACCTGAAAGGATACATCTAAGTATGAGGATATAAAAGAAGTAGACAGGCCCCTGCAGGAACAGAAGCCTAGCTTTAATTATCTCAGTTCCTGAAATTAGATTAAGGAGATCATGGATGGATAATAGCCCTAACAGCCTGCCTGAAGTAAATGAGAAGATAGTTTAGAAAACGGTATCCAGAATGAAACACATTTGGAGAGGGCCGGCCCGTGGCTCACTCGGGAGAGTGCAGTGCTGACAACGCCAAGGCCACGGGTTCGGATCCCACATAGGGATGGCCAGTTGCTCACTGGGAGAGTGTGGTGCTGACAATACCAAGTCAAGGGTTAAGATCCCCTTACCGGTCATCTTTAAAAAAAAAACACATTTGGAGAAAGAGAACATCATCTGGAGCTTTAAATTATTGCTATAATCCTTATATATTTGACACACAAGCCAAATCACATAGCCAGACACATGAGAACATTAGATAACACAAATGGGAGCTAAGTAAAACAACAGATAAAAAAGCAGATTTATAGGGACTCCATATAATGAAGTTACCATACAGATTTTGAAGTAACTATGTTTAATATGTTGAAGGCAATAAAAGAGAAGATAAAGAATTTGGCAGAGAATAAGAAATTATTAGAAAGAAAAGGATATTCTAGAACCAAAAATACAGTAAATGTAAAGTGCACTTTCATTCATTTGGTATTTTCTTGATAGCAAAACTTTCTTTGTGAAGAAAGGATTTTTTGATTTACATTATGGGGCCAGCTCCTTATCTCGTTGTAGAGTGACACTTTGAGTAACAGTGACCTTGAAAATAGTTGGGAAGAAAACACCCAGAATGAAGCACAAGAGACAAAAGGAAGGAAAATACAGAAAGACAGAAAGGAAGGAAAGAGATTTAGGAGATGAATCAGGTGTGATTTACAAATAGAAAAGATGAACAGTTCTATAAGTCTTAAAGCAGTGCTTCTCAAAATAGTTGTGTTGATGACCAATACTTTTAATATACAGTAAAAATATAGCAATATCAAATTACTTAAACACTTCATCTCATTTTCTTTTCTCATAGAATGGTACAAATGGTTCACAAACTAGCACTCATCCACAGACCACAGCTTGAGTGGTATGGTAACAAAAGAAATTGAATGCATAATTAAAATCTTTCCCACTGAGAGAATTACAGGTGTGTGTGACTTTACTGGTGGATTTTACAAACATGTAAGGAAGAAATAATTATACAGACTTTTTTTGAATATTGAAAAGAAGGAAATACTTACTCCCCAATTCTTTTTAAGAGGCCAAATTTGACAATGACATTAAAATAAAAGCAAATTATAGGATATTCTTACGCATGAAGAGAGATGTAAAAAATCAACAAAATATTGGCAAACCAAATCCAGCATTATAGTTTGGCCTGTTTGGTTTTACTTTAGGAATGTAGGGTGGCTTTAACATTTGAAAATTAATGTAATTCACCCATTTTAAAAGAATGGAGGAGAAACAGCATATAATCATCTTGATACATGCTGAAAAATCATTTGATAAAGTTCAGCATTCATTCATGGTAAAAAAAAAAAATTAACAAATTGCAATAGAAAAGGAACTGCTAAATTTACAACAAACCTGCAGCAAATATAATTTATAGTGACATGCTGAAAACTTTCCCTTTGAGGTCAGGAATGAGACAAGGATGCTTGCTATCATCACTTCTATTCAAGGTGCAGTACCTTAATAATCAAAGCTGTAAAATTGAAAAGGAAGAAATAAACCTTTTATTATTCACATACAGTGTGACTGCAAATCCTTAAGATTCTAGAAAACCCAAAAGGAAGATCCGGAACAACGTTGCTGGATACAAGGACCATATACAAAATAATTGTTTCTATACAGCAGCAACAAAGTGATTTTAGAAATATATCATTTACAATAGCATCAAAAAAAATCAAATATATAGGAATAACTAACAAATTTCCACACAATAAACTAAGACGTTATTGAGACTAAGTAATTTTTTTAAACATTACTGAGAAAAATCTTTGAAAGAGCTAAATAAATGGAGCATTTATTGTTTTTGTGGATTGAAACTCTCAATATTATAAAGATTGAGGTTGATTTACCTCAAATATACAGATCAGTGATCCCAAACAATCTCAATAAGGTTTTTTCGGGGGGTGGGGGGGTGGGGATATAGAACTTAAAGCTTTGATTATAAAATTTGTATGGAAATGCAAAGAGTCAAATAGTTAAGGCACTCTTGAAGATGAAACACAATGTGGAAGAACTTGTTTTATTGGATATTGAGACCTTTTTTGAAACTATAGTTACTAAGAATGTGCCATTTAGGTGCATGGATGGACAAATGTCTAGCTGTAACTAACCTGAGAAAATGGATGAGGATCTTTTTTTGTGTGTGTTTTTTTGTCTTTTTTCGTGACCGGCAACGGATCGCAACCCTCAGTGTCGTGCCCATACCGGACCGGGACCGGCAACGGTATCGCAACCCTCGGTGTTGTGCCCGCACCTCGCTCAGCCAGTGAGCGGCCGGTCTGTATGTGGGATCCGAACCCTCGGCAGGAGCGCCGCCGCTCTCCCAAGCTGTGCACTGTAGCAGTGCGCCACCGGGCCGGCCCTTGGATGAGGATCTTAAAAAAGAAACTACCAGTTGAAGATAATGTTAATAATGCAAGCATAAGTTAACAAGAAAATAGCAGAGTTCAGTCAGCTATTTCGTACTACTCATTTTGTCTTAACAATAAGATTCTAAGCATCTGGAAATTAGAAACTATCTCTTACTCTTAAAACATCTTCAGTAGAATCTGTCATAACACTTTAGGAGGTATTTAATAGTTACTTTGAATTTTATTATGTGCTTACGTAACTTTTGAATCTTTTTTGGTTTTAGATCTGCTGATTTAGGTCCTAATTTATTGACAAGATCTGGACAACCAACACTTACCAGAGTGCCCCCACCTATTCTTCCAAGGCCATCACAGCAGACAGGAAGCAGCAGTGTGAACACTTTCAGACCTGCTTACAGTTCATTATCTTCTGGATACGGTGCCTATGGAAATTCATTTTATGGAAGCTATAGCCCTTACAGCTATGGATATAATGGGTTGGGCTATAACCGCCTCCGTGTAGATGATCTTCCACCTAGTAGATTTGTTCAACAAGCTGAAGAAAGCAGCAGAGGTGCATTTCAGTCCATTGAAAGTATCGTGCATGCATTTGCCTCTGTCAGTATGATGATGGATGCTACCTTTTCAGCTGTCTATAACAGTTTCAGGGCTGTACTGGATGTAGCAAATCACTTTTCCCGATTAAAAATACACTTTACAAAGGTTTTTTCAGCTTTTGCATTAGTTAGGACTATAAGGTATCTTTACAGACGGTTCCAGAGGATAATGGGTTTAAGAAGAGGCTCTGAGAATGAAGACCTGTGGGCAGAAAGTGAAGGAACTGTGGCTCATCTGGGTGCTGAGCACCAAGCAGCTAACTCAGCAAAATCTTGGCCAATTTTCTTGTTCTTTGCTGTTGTCCTTGGTGGTCCTTACCTCATCTGGAAACTGCTGTCTACCTACAGTGATGAAGTAACAGGTAAGAGTAAGGAAATGGGTTCAGAAACTATAACAGTCTCAAATTTCAAGAATGGGTTTGTTAAATTAGTGTTTTTTATATTCATTTGTATTTACTATTTTGATCCAGTTACATTTTCAGTTAAGAGCTTCAAAACTGGAAGAGGAATATGTAGCAAAAACAGGTTTGCTGATTTATTTATTGTTTTTCAGTGTAACAGTACACATTACCTTACTGTTTACAAGGAACTGAACTTGGAGCTGTGGTGGATATGAAGATACATAGGGTATAATCCCTACCTTACTGAAACTTATTGGGAGAAAAGTGATTAATATACATAAACAGGTAATTTAAATGAGGCAGAAAGAGTGTGGTAAGGAATTTGACAGTTGGAGAGAGACATAAGGTTTCTTGAGCCCTTTTTTTAATATGCATGACACTGCTAGATATTTTGGGTATTTTATCTCAATTGTTTCAACAACCCAAAGAGATAGTAATTATCCTCATTTTACAAGTGACAAAACTAAGGTTCAGAGAACTTACTTGTCCAAGGTCACATCTTTAATATGGTAGAACCAGAAATAAAACCAGGTTGCTTGACTGTTAAGCCCATACTCTGTCGACTGGTAGAGAGTACTATCTGACTTTGGAAAAATGAAGCTAACATTTTTGGCTGTCGTATCCAGGAAGAAATGGCATCTGAGTTAGATTTTTGAAAAATAGGTATCATTTCATAAGTTAGGTAAGGAGAAAAAGACTGTCAAGCAGATGGAATAGATTGAACAAAAGTACATAGGTAGAAAATATGAGATTCGTTCAGCAGTTGTCCTATAGTATTGAATAGAAGGATTGTAAGAAATAAGGCTTAGAAATTATGTTGAAGGCTAATAGTAGAAAACTTAATTGCCATTATGAGGCTTAATCTTCGTTTAGTAAGGGATGGATAGTTTTTTCGTAGTTTTTGGTTTTTAAATGGGCTGTGACATATATATAAACAGTGCTCTAACGAGGTCAGTATGTCTGAAATATTTAAGATAAATCAGTGGAGTTTAATTAAAACAAGTCGAAGTTAGATAGTAAGATTCATAAAGGATTTAGATTATCTTCACCTTTGTATTCCCAGTATCTAACAACCTGCTTGGCACATAGGAGGTGCTTAATAAACATTTATTAATTTGGGGACATCAGTTTTGATGCATTTGCATTAGACTGGATGAGAGATAATGAAGCTCCAAACTAGGGTATGTGAAAAGCAGAACTGATATAATCAATTCAGTGGATTTGGTCACTGGGTAGATGTGGTACATAAAGGGAAAGGAAGAATCAAAATGACCTAGACCTTTAAATTTGGGTTATTAGAGTGATAATGTTTATTCATTAATTCAATAAGTATTTGTTGAGTGCCTACTACATGCCAGACACAGTTCTAGGAGCTACGGATATAGCAACAAGTAAAACATTTAAAAAAATCCTTGCTCTTGTGGCAATCTAATGGGAGGGAGACAGTAAACATATATAATAAGTCAGAAGGTAATAAGTGCCACAGGAAAAAAAAAACATAAAGTAGGGAAGAATGTTGGGAAGTGCCAGGAATAGGAAGAAGGGTCGCAGTGCTACATATAGTCAGGGAAGGCCTTCCTGAAGGAGGTAAGGGAATACACCCTCCAGCTATTTGAGGGAAGAGTGTTTAAAGCATAGGGAAAAGCAAAAGTGCAAAGATATTTAAGTGGCAGTGTGCTTGGCATGTCACGTGAACAGCAAGAAGGCCAGTGTGGTTGGAGCAGAGTGAGAGTGGTAGGAGACATTCGGAGGAAGAGTTGAATGAGTAGATGGTATAGGGAAGCCATCACAGAGTTTGGGACAAAGGAGAAATATAATCTGACTTAGATTTTAAAAAGAAAATCTTTTTACTGATAATGGTTAATAGGTAGACCTAGGGCAGAAGAGACCAATGTGGAGAGTAAAGAAGCCATTACATTAATTCAAGTGAGAGATGATAGTGGCTTGGGTTAGGGTGGCAGTGATGTGAGTCCTGAGGTGGAGTCAGATTGTGGATATGTATTTGCAGGAAAAGCCAATAAAATAAATATAGAGAAATCCCATGGGACAACTGGTTTGTGAGTGATTATCATTAGTTTGGTTGGAGTTAATATTGAGTTTGATGTGCCATTGGGACATTGGGACTTGAATGAAGTTTAAAAGGCAGGACAGGATCTTAGAGAGGTTAAAAAAGTTAAAAATTATCCACATAGAAGTGATAGTTGAATAGTTGAAATAGTGTAAGTCGATTATATTACTATGGTAGAAAGACAGAAAAAAGAAGAGGGAGTAAGATGGAAATCAGGAAGACTAGAAGTAGAACCATGTTATTACTGCATTTTGGAAGCATGGGAGTGGAGGGAGGAAGGAAGTTTCAAGAAGGGGAAGAAGGATGATGAGTGGTATAAGATGCTATAATAACGTAAGATCAAGAACTGAATAAAGTTCATTAGATTTGTCAATTAGATGTCATCGATTGCCAGGAAGTAATTTTGGTGTAGAGCAGAGAAAACAAACTGTGGAGGGGGATAACGGGTTTATAAACTCAGACGATACAAAAAAATAAAAAGATTAGCAGTGAATGGAAGGAGAGGAAAAAAAGAATAGCCATGTTGAGTGATAGCAAGTTGATGTGATAGTTCTCGGTTTTTAGTTTTGGTTTGTCTTTTAAGAAGTAAGGATATCTGAAAATGTTTTTAGGCTAAAGAAAGGAGTCAGTAGAGGAGCGATTGTAGATAAGGGAGGGACAGAGAAGTGTTAAATAGTGAAGGAGCCTCCTATAGTATGTTGGAGAAGATTTGATTCAAGGAACCAGTCAAAAGGAGGTACAATTCTTTATCTGAGGCAAAAGAAGGAGAAATGGGTAATGATACAAAAAGATTTTTGAGGAGGAGCGAAATTGAGGAGACTTAGGTCTTATGACTTTAGCTTTTAGAGAAGTGGTTGGCTACCTGTGGCCTATGGGCCAGATCTGGCTTACTCCTATTTTTGTACAGCCCACAAACTAAGAATGGTTTTTATATTTTTCAGCAGTTAGAAAAAAATAAGAAATATTTTTTTAAAAAAGAATTTGCGATGTGAAAATTATATAAAATTTAAATTTCAGTGTTCACTAATAAAGTTTTATTAGAACAAAGCCACACTCATGTGTACATAT